CCCGCTCACTAACTACGCCCCGCTCACTAGCTACGCCCCGCTCACTAACTGCGCCCCGCTCACTAGCTACGCCCCGCTCACTAACTACGCCCCGCTCACTAACTACACCCCGCTCACTTAGTACACCCCGCTCACTAACTACGTCCCACTCACTAGCTACGTCCCGCTCACTAGCTACGCCCCGCTCACTAACTACGCCCCGCTCACTAACTACACCCCGCTCACTAAATACACCCCGCTCACATACTATACCCTGCTCACAAACTATGCCCTGCTCATTAACTATTCCCTTGTGTCTATGAGTACTCTGCTGCTGTATAGCTCTTCATATTTATTACTTTGTTTCTAAAAGGATTGCAAAAAAATATGAAGACGGTTCAGTTATGGAATTTCTTTAGGTGATTTATTTTGACTTTTAATTTTTCCCGTTTATAAAGTTTGCAGTATTATAAAATGTGATAAAAGGAGTTACATAGATTTGTTATCATGTAACAGAGTGCGGGAAATTAACAAAGAGCGGTGCAGACACGAAGCATGCGTCACTCTTTGTTATCAGCCCCTTTGTTATCAGCAGCGATCTGCTCCGCTTTCTATGCCGTGTCTGCACCACATATTGCATAGGGAGCAGGAGAGGTGGAGCTGCTTGTGAGAAGGGAAAAGGGAAGGGAATGAAGGGTTAGACTCCTTCTCAATCTCTATTGTTGTATGTCATACACTGGGGAGATTCACCCTTATTGTGCTGGTGAGCATTGTTATTGGGATAGGATGTGATGGGAAATCCAAAATTGTACAGTTGTCACCAGAGCAGGGGGTGGTGGTGCTTAAAGCCAGTACAAAGTGACATCCTCATTCATGTAGGTTTGTAAATATGACTTTGGGGCTGATTCATAAATCTTCTGCCCAGAGCTGGCCAAATACCGTCCACATTCCACTACTGCCACTAGGTGGAGCCAAAGGACGTTCCTATGCTGCTCAGTGTCACCTACCGTGTTTCCCCGAAAATAAGACACTGTCTTATATTTTTTTTTGGCTCACAAAAACACACTAGGTCTTATTTTCGGGGTGGGTCTTGTTTTTTTTTAATGTAGAACAATCCGCACTTATTTATGTACAAAAATATGGTGATCAGGGCAATCAGAGGTGCCGTACCTTTCCAAGAGCAATTTGCTAACCAATCGCTGGCCAGAATGAGCGAAGTGCACTTTCACTATGGATTCCCCACAGGCGGAGCGCATTTGGTATCAATCCGCCTGTGACAGGAGCCGGCGCTATAGAGGAGGCATCGGCTTATGCGTCTCTGCTCCCTCCGGTGCCGCCTCGCTTCCTCTAGCGCCGGCTTCGTTGGCATCGCTGATTCTCTCCCGCGGCTCTTCAAGTTCCCCCCTTATGCCACCACCGGCCCTGGGAATGGTCTTATTTTTGGGGTAGGTCTTATATTTTGGCAATTCCCCAAAATAGTACTAGGTCTTATTTTCGGGGAAGCAGGGTAGTGGTGCTAGTGCCGTGCTATGAGCTGCGCAGAAGATTTATGAATCAGCCCCTTTGTGTATGGAATTCTGAATTGCTCTGAATTTGTGTAAAAGAAATGTATTCCCTGAGGCACTGAAAATAAGCAATTTTGTATTTCCTATTTTGTAGGATTCTAACGTACCTCAGAGTCCGGAAGAACAAGGTAAGGGACATCATCGGGTGAAAATGTGATAAAGAGAAATGTTTTCTTATGTCTTCTGTTACCGGAGCAGCCAATCACATCATGTTGATTTTGTAGAACATTTTAGGTATTCTCTGGGTGCAGTGGGAAATCTAAGGGGTTCATAGCTTTGCTTGTTGCCTTATTTTTGGGGCCTCAGGGAGGTCTGACCTCTCGCCTCTGCTAAGACAGCAGGAAAACGTCTCAGAGGAGGAAACGTCAAATGAAGACAAGTCGGGTCACATCAATTGGGAATATGGCTATTACATGACAAGGTAGAACATAATCCCATAACAATTTTACACCCAAACTCCCATGCTGCTATGCCACCACCCTCTAATAATCCCCACCTCCCAATTAAGACACCACACTCGAGATTGGAGTTAAAATGGCAGCCTTTTATTACAAATTTCAAGTGAAACAGGGTGTGTATAAATAACACGTTTACTTATAACAAACAATATAAATATATATATATATATGACTGAACCAGTACTACTCCACCCCCTCCAGACCACTAAGGAAGCCCTCCTGCAACTCTTGAAACCGGCCAATCAGGTAAGTAACCATCCCCCCTTAACACTAACTTAACCCCGTACTTCCGAGTTCCCTGTCCACCCTGTCATGTAGTCCTTCCACCTATTTTTCTTTTCTTTTGCTCCAGGACTATCTGGTCATGTGGGGGGGCTGAGATTTCACCAGCACGAGTCTAATGACGTAAAACAAAAGCTAAGAAAATGGACATATAGGCTTCTGTCCCAACTGTCAGTCCCTGGGCTGTCCAGATAAATACACTCTATACATCCCACGTTCTTCCTCATATAATCCCAGGTCATGTAGACCCAACGCTCAAGGCTACAATCTATCTGGCTGCTCCATACCAAAAACAAAAACATGTCCTCTTTACCCCCCAATTCCTAGGACCATACTGTCATTATCTTGTGTCTTAATGCTGAATTAAACCTAAATTGGCCACATACCGTATTTTGCGGTCCATAACACGCACCTGACATTAAGACGCGTGTAGTTCCTGACAGCTGAGACAGGTGGTGCTGTGATTACAGCGCCACGGTCTCAGTGATAACACAGAGCAGACGCAGAATGGACGTTCTTCATCTGCTCTTTGGGCTCTATGGTGAGCTCCTATGCCGTGGTCACGGGTCCAGAGAAGCGGGGGACCCCGAAAACCGCGGGGGGGGGGGGGAGGGGAAAAGAGGCATT